TGATTAGATTAATGTAACAGTTATAATAGCATTTTGATGAACTGCAAAATGAAGAAAGCTGTAGAACTAGTTACGCTTGAGCTTTAAGGTGTAATTTTGTAATAAGTTTGGGACATTACTGGTGAAACAGTTTGAGGATTCAGACGTGCAACATTTGTTTTTATCAAGGGAGAGTATTTTAGGTCGAAACTTTATACGTTTTTCGTTTTTTTATAATACCGATGATAAACAGAAAATGTTGTAATTATGATTATCTTATGTGAATCCTAGATTAAACCCTGACCTATATTTAATCCACCATAAGATTGTATCAGATCTTATGAACAGCACCAAAATGTAACTTTTAATAGTCACTAAAGTGACTTCTGAACATCAAACAATCTGAGAAGGTGACAGTCATTGAAATATAACTTCAGGCGTTAATTCACCAAAGAAGATAAATTATGATATAGAGGGCACGTGATTTGGAAATAACTGGATCACTATAGGTCTAAGAAACCCAAATTAGTAGAACCGTCTGGAATGATTAACTGTAGACAGATTCTAGTCAGTGGTTGACGGGCAATATCAGAGCAGTCTTATGATATTCCAGATTGGTGATTTATGGTTAAAGTTTAACAGATGTTGATACTTGATTGTATTATGTGTGTGTGTGTTAAAACTGTTTCCTCTTCAGTAAGTAATCTCTCATCAGTGAAACAGAAATTATGTTATAGGTGATAAACTACAACGATTTCATATAATTGTATATATTGCAATAGCTGAGAGAAATGACGTGATTTATAGTTTAGAGAAAGCTGCTATTTCTAAATAAATAAATTTTATAACTGTTATTTTTAAACTATGATAAATAGATTTAGCTAATAAGATTACGGCGCTGGACTAGCAATTTACGGGACATGGGTTGGAATCCCCGTCGCCTAATATGCTATCCCGAAAGGGCTTGGGATCGTTATAATGAGACGACCAATGCCACTATTCGTTGGTAATAGATTAGCCCAAAAGATGGCGGTGGGTGATGTTGACTAGTTGCATTCCTTCTAGGCCCGGCATGGCCAGGTGGTTAGGGCGCTCGACTCGCAATCTGCGGGTCGCGGGTTCGAATCCCCGTCCCACCAAACATGCTCGCCCTTTCAGCCGTGAGGGCGTTATAATGTGACGGTCAATCACACTATTCGTTGGTAAAAGAGTTGGCGGTGGGTGGTGATGACTAGCTGCCTTCCCTCTAGTCTTACACGGCTACCTGGAGAGGAGATGGGCGCCACCAGCTAAATCTGCCCGAGAATCATCGACGATGCATCATCATCTAGGGTGCCTTGGGATTCAAATAAAAGAAAGATTACGCGTATCTGACAGTTTTAAATATTTTTGAGATTATGTCAAATCTTGATACACAGTAAGAAAAATAAGACGTAAAATAGTAAAAATGATAGAGGTTATAAAAATAATACGATATAAATGTTTTCTGTTTTTCTTATTTACACCATTTTTAAGCCTTTGTTTTATTTTTATTTAAATGTCCATCATTGCAACTTATTTCCCTTCGTTATAAAAACAAATAACGGACAACACCGGTACTATTGGTTGGTGAGTCGACTTGTTTGCTGTTAAGCACAAAGCCTCTTTAGCGTTGAGCCACCCGGGGAGGGAGGGAGGGGGTGATTCATCACCGAGTCCTAATCACCTAATCTAGAAAGTTTTTTTAATGATTTAATTATGATTGATTGATGGAAGTGTACCATCAATTTTTCACTTGTTTTAGCAATAAAATTAATGTCTACTATTTTATTAAAGATACTATGCAAACATTTTTTGAAATAGTATGTCGTGTGGTTTTTAATCTCCACTTTAAACTACTTAATTTTTACGCTTAAAGTAGACGCTATATTCTTGTATAGAATACAGATAAAATTAAAACAGCGGCAAAGAGCATGTTTCTATCTCTAATAAACGAATAATGTTGATTTTAAGTTTTAGGCATCATTTCCAAGACAAAAATGTCTTTCTATTCTAGTGAGCAAACATTTTCAGTCGATACAAGTAAAATAACACAGTGAGCAAAAAATTATTTCATATTTATTATTCGCTGTCATGGAAGCAGTTTCACAGCTTTACTTTTATCTTGTGGACTGAACCAGATGGAGTTTGATTCCAATATGAACACTTCTTTAATTTCTTGTTCAGTTAATATGTCCACAGCTTTCAGGCTCCAGTTGAAGTTGGTATACAATGCTGTTAATTTCATTAAACAGAAGGATTGCATTTTTTATTTTTCATTCCATTTCAAGCTTTGATAGCTTTTTTCTTTGGGTTATAGATTTTTATTACTGATAGGACAGAGCATTTGCTTCTATGGTGGGTTGAGGTGGAGTTCTGTCACTTGCATCCTGATTTACTTTAGTCCTGAATTTAATAGAAATTCTCAACATCAATGTTTTTAGCAGACACCCTCTAAACTTTGCGAGTTGCTCCGTTATATTCAGCTTTCGCTTTAATATTAAAGATTGTGATTAGAATGACCGATTAATATATGACTCTACTCGTGTATATTATTATTATTATTAAGCTAACATCTATATTAAAAAAATAGTCTTAAATTATCAAAATAGCTCAACCTCCGGTAGAAATAATTTTAACAGTATTTTTAAGACAGACTATGACGTGGCACATCATTGGAAATATAGTGAAATAAAAAATACATAGCGTTTTTCATGTATCTTACCTGAAGTTAATATTGTCAAAAGTTAGATGTGATGGTAATATAAATGACAATATCTAGTTTTACACTAGATTAACACAAAACTGGTATCAGTGCATTGAAGAAGGTCTGTATTAATATATAATATGTCACAATATGGGGTATTTTATTATATAATCATCTGACATTATCATATTTCAAAGGTTACATGGTCGTGTTTTGAACTATATTTGGGCCTTTTGAGTTTAAAAGGCCGAAAAATAAGTTCCACATGAGCTAGAATGGCTTAAGAAGATTCATAATATTCATAAGATTATGTGTCACTTTTTTCGTTGTAGGTTTGATCTGTATCATAACGTTTTGGCAGGGTGTAAAAATGTGTATGGTGTTTTTGATTGTCGAAAATCCGCACAAATTATACATTATGGAAAGCTCATTAAAATCCATGCAGATTATACATTATGGAAAGCTCATTAAAATCCATGCAAATTATATATTATGGAAAGCTCGTTAAAATCCATGCAAATTATACATTATGGAAAGCTCATTAAAATCCATGCAAATTATACATTATGGAAAGCTCATTAAAATCCATGCAAATTATACATTATGGAAAGCTCATTAAAATCCATGCAAATTATACATTATGGAAAGCTCGTTAAAATCCATGCAAATTATACATTATGGAAAGCTCATTAAAATCCATGCAAATTATACATTATGGAAAGCTCATTTGGCCCTCGTCTTATATTGCAACTCATGTTTGTCGATATTTTTATAATTAAAAAAAAATGTAATATTATCTATGTCTCGTATCCTTTAAAGTTACCCACCCACATCAGCAGTATCAGTCATAAGCTTTTTCAGTAAAAAAAGTATTTTTAGCAACTGTAACGATTTTCCTGAAAGTACCGTTGCTGTGGAATGATTCTTTTGTACTAAAACTTTACAACTAACCTGTAATTACAGCAGAATATTAATGCTGACTTCCGGGGAGATTTATATCATATGTGCATTTATTGCAGTATAAGTAATAATTAATGTTCAGGATATAGGAGACACGTTACTGTTGTTTCATAAAAACACATATATATATTTTCTCAATAATCTTCCTTCTCATTCTCTTCATCACTACTGTTCATCATCCTTTACGTTGGATTGGTTATAGCATTCCTCTATGCAATCACAAGATTCAGTACAAGATAGATCGTTGATCTTACACTGGTAAGTGCTTCTGGTGGAAGCTAAACTTCACACTTACAGGTTAAGAGCTTCATTAACACTGGCATCAGAAACCCATTCCTTACTTTGTGGTACAGCCCCTACAGGGGTATTATCAGCCTTCTTCTGAATCTTAGAGGTTTACACACAGTGTGAAGTTGGTAATCCCTATGTTTTTTTAAACATTTGATCTGATTGAGGGAGTATACATTTCCTTGGACGCTGAGTGTTCTGGTGTACCAGTTGTTTGGTCTGTAATATATAGGACTTGTAGCAGCTTTTATGCCGGAAAACTGCCAAGCTGGAAAAATCTGAATGCTGCAATCTGAAAATGTTACATTTCGCCTTCTCTGAGCAGCAACTATAAATTTTCGAAGTGATTTCTTTGTTGTTTGCTAAGGGGTTATTTTGATCGATTCAGGCACCTGAGACACCCAGTTTGTGCTCCTCTTCCTCTTAGCATTTGGTTCTGCATTACCTTACTCCATTCTTCTAATCATATATATATATATATATAAATAATTGATGTTCTTTACCACAAGCATCCAAGCTGGCGTGTACAGTGAAATGGAAAAGCCATGTGTAGGTTTTTTAAACAGTGTGCTTACCAACTGTTATGTTTTTTTGGGGGTTTCCTTTGATTTCTCAGTTTTGCATGGGCTTGTTTTATAGATGGAAGGTTTTTGCACCACCGTAAAACAAATGTATGTGAATTTGGGCATAAAAGATTAAAAAAAGACCACTAAGAACATTGCTGACAGAATGAAAACCTCCCAAATAACCTAAGAAGCCATATAAATGCCATTTCATTCATCTTACACATAATACATTTGATAGTTTGAACTAAAAAACGTATCATTAGTTTGAAAAAAAACCCAGCAAAAAACAGTTATCTTAGTTTTGCGTATACTGACTCAACAGTTTTTAGTTTATCTTCAGAAATGTAAATTTTGATTTGTTGCTTTCAAAGTTCTAATAAACTCTATGCCACTGCTCACTTCTACAGCCGGGCATTTCCACCTCTATTTACAACGATTTTTCTATATAGCGTGAAATACCGAATAGCAATAACCAATACATTTAATGGTAAATGTTTGCAATTTCAGTTAAACTAAAGACATGGTACAAGTTACATTTGAAGGATACAAGAATATAAGAGCATAGATATAAATATCCTAATATATTTCTATGTGTGAAAATATAATGAAAAGGGTTATGTGTAAGTATATGCTCTCGAAAGATCCATTTCCAGCAGTAAGAATTCTGTACCGTGGGTTGACATTGGCATGGTAATGTAGGGAAAACTATATACATTTTTTCAAAAAGGAACATTTTGGACACCGAACCTAAACATAACGGGAAGATATCGATTAAATCTAAGTGGCAAAACACTGACACATAACCTGAAGGATCTTATAAACCTTCTCAAAACTTCTAGCTCAGGGGAAACACGTTTTTCAGTTATCTAAAGTCAAAAGGTCCTAAAACAGCTCAAAACATGACTCTGTTTGATCTCTGAAAATGTGTCATGATCATAATACCCACACTTTAACATACTGATACCTCCACACCTAATGTTTTAAAATGTGAATTTAATGAAAAACGGCCTGTAATTTTATTTTACCACATTGCCAATGATTTACACAATCTAGAAGGATGTAGTAGTACCTAGTCCATTTCAAAAACACTGGAAAAATTATCTCAACCGGGGGTTAAGTATGTTTGTTTCTACTTAAGCGCAAAGCGACACAATGGGCTATATGTGCTGTGCCCACCACGGGTATAGAAGCCCGGTTTCTAGCGTTATAAGTCCGAAGATTTACTGCTGTGCCACTGTGGGCAGGGATGAAGTTCCTCACCAGATTTGCTAGGTTTTATTGTTGCGTATAGAAAGAAGTACATCAGTTTCGTTACTGACGCAACACGTGGTCTTTTTTTTTATGTAGCCGTTATTGTTTCTACCTATTTACTCTAATTATACGATAACTTTTCACTAGAAAAATAGAATTTTTAGACTCTCATTTATTCAAACGTTCGAGGCTGTGTTTTGATATGAGATTATACTTTCGTTAAAGAAAACCGTTACTAACAAGAACGATAAGGCAGGCTCGAAACACTAATCTTAGGGTTTACTAGTTGTTAATTTCTTCACCAAAACGTACATTTCAGTGAAAAAGAGATGACGCAGAGGCCTAATCTGTTCGACCACAGTGGCCCAGCGGTATATCTGCGGACCTACAACGCCAAAAACCGGGTTTCGATACCCGTCATGGGCAGAGCACAGATAGCCCAATGTGTAGCTTTGTGCTTAATTTAAAACAACAACCTAATATATTCTTTGATTCGCTACTTCCGCTGCAGCAGACTAGTTTCGCTGAATTCACAGCTCATCAGTACTGCTTGGAAGAGCGAAGCAAATAAATAAAGCAGGTCTCATATAGTTGTGTAATGTAAGCAGTTTATTTGGTTTTGATGTATCTGTTATTATTATTCAGCGGACTAACCGGATTGTTTACTTATTTCTACTTTTTGATATAGTTTCAATGCATTTTGGGAAATTTAATAGCATTAATATTGAAACAAGAGAGAATCCTCAATACCCGCGGCACTTAATATTCCTGTAGACAGGATTAGAGTAAATTAATCTATGATACATTTTCCCCCCTCTTTATATTAGCCATATTTTTGTGCGCCACTAATACCAAGGGTATACCCGATTCGGTTTTATTACCCATCAGGATCTCTTCCATCCAACCTTCAAATTGAAATTCTTTTAAGCACAATTAGAGTAAATTAATCAATGAGACCTTGGGCATGCATCAATCGAAAGGGTTTGATCTTCTGAGTCAAAAACTGTAATTAGATCTCAAATCGGTGAAGAGATGACGGAATATGAGCCAAAAGTTTGTACTTGAAAAAAAAACCCAACAAACTCAGAACCGCTATGCCGTGACTAAAACTGTTTAAAACATACATTTCACTAGATACAGTAATAGAAAATAAATATATCAGTCGTATAGATAACAATTGTGTATTTGAATATTTTTAAATGATTTAAGTTCAGGGTTAGACTCCAGAAGAAAATGCTGAACAAACTGTTGAGGGTTATCTAAAGAGGGGATAAAATGGCAAAATTTAAACTTTTCAAAACTTCTGTTCAAGACAAATAATTGTGAATATGAAAAATGGCATTTCCCCAAAAATAATGGATACCGTCGAATGTAACTGGTTAATTTTTAATGTAAAATTGTGAACACACCTGTAAATATTATAAGTCAACAGGACTCGTTCATTTCTGGTGCCGTTACACTCAGTTTAATTAATTTTGATATGTTAACGTTCTAGCAATTTCATGTATAAGTTTCATAATATAGTATATTAATTAGTAATTATATTCTATATAGTTTGTAGGGACATAAAGTTGTTTCAAACATCCAAATGACTGTTTCTTCAGTTAATATTCCCCCCCCCCCAGTGGCTTAGTGGTAAGCCTAATAATGCTAAAAATTGGGTTTTGATACCCGTGGTAGTTTGTGCTTTTACCGCAAACAGATCAATTAATTCACAATGGAAGCGAAGAGATATATATTCGATTGCATCTTCCATGCTTTGTGTGTATTCCATTGAGTGTTTGTGTGTATGTGTATATTGTTACGTATCTGCTTGTTTGATAATTTCCTGTAAAACTTCTTTCCGAGTGACTTCAGCGATACAAGTCCCTTTTTGATTAAATCTATTTCATTCTTTCTCGTTACAAACTTTGTAATACAATTAATTTCCTCTGTCACTTTAAACTTAACAACCTTTATAACACACGTTATAAATCATATTGATTCACACACTTTACTTACGGTGCCTACTGTTCGCTTGATTCAGTTATCTCTATCTTCAATCTATCTGCATATCTATCTATCGATGGCTTACTAAAAAAGAGGGCGTTTAGCAAACACTGGAACATTTGCGAGGTTCCCCGATAAGTCATGATCCTTCTAGAAACTCCAGCGCGCATGCTTCCAGCGTCGCGTGACTTCGCTGTCGTAACAATATATAAGGAAACATGAAAAAAGCACTTTAAAGATTTAATGTGAATGTTTTATGAACTGTTCCGAAAGCATTTTTCTGAATATTTCTTAATCCATGTAAATGTCCAGTGGTCGGTCAGCCTTTTCAAAACTAATCAGTTTTTTAAATTATTTGAGAAGTGTTCTCGCTCGCGCGTTTTCGGTGCCACGATTTTTTATGTATTTCAATCTCCATATCATATCTAGTATAGTCGAGAGAATATATTTAACTGAACTTATGTTGTATACAAATAACATGCAAAACGTGCGGTTTAGAACAAGAGTTTATATATCTGCATTAAAAAAATCTCTGAGAAAAAGTGGCCGCTTCAATTTCGTCATGTTATTCACGTGCCACAGAAAACGACGATACTTTGAATTGAAATAACGTTCTCCATTCCAAAGCTGGTGTACTGTGTAGGTTTGTTTGTGCATAATTCATACACTGCAGTCGAAAAGGTCGGTGTTGCTTGTATGATTCGACAAGCAGAGTTGGAAGCTTACTAGTTTATTTATGTGTAGCTGTAAATATACGCGCATTTATCAAACAGAACAGTAGTTTTGTAGCCAAGACAAAAACAAAAATGGAGAAACAAAACTACTGTAGTCTTTCTATTTGCATAGTTTGCTTATTATGCATGAAATATGCATGTTTGTTATTCTTTTCAAGAATTAAAAATCAGAAATGCTTTGCTTTATCCAGAACCTTGTGCATCTCCAGAACAGGCCTGTAAAATTTCATTCACCAGCTTTGCATACTTTTGATTATAGAGGCACGTGAAGTTTTGCATAAAATTTCAAAATTTTCAGTACCTCCAATCTTTGTCCAGCAATTAGAAGAAGAAAAAGTGCAAATATTCCTTATCGAATGTGAAGAGCGGGACTCAGTATGCAGAATTGTGCAAAGTTTAATTGTAAAAATGTAAAATCTACTTTAAAATAGGATAACCCGTACTTTGCCATTCTTCGCCGCTGAGGGAAGAAACTTCAAAAAGTAGCCAGGTTAGGGCGCTTGACTCAGAATCTGAGGGTCGCGGGTTCGAATCCCAGTCCCACCAAACATGCTCGTCTTTTCAGCCGTGGAGGTGTTATAAAGTGACGGTCAATCCTACTATTCGTTGGTAAAAGAGTAGCCCAAGAGTTGGTGGTGGGTCGTGCTGAGACTTCATCAAAGATGTTTTGCGTTTTAAACATCACGTGAATGACTTCATTTTTAAAGCAGTTAGAAGCTTACATAAATAAGTCTCGTCTTTCACTGCTAAATTGTGGACGGCTAGCGCAGATAGCTCTCATGAAGCTTTGCGCGAAATTCAAAAACAAACAAACAGGGCAGTAGCTAGTAGCGATTGAAGGAAGAGGTCACTGAACCTGATCCTCACAGGTCTAAAAGACTTAAATACCGATACCTGGATCAGAGCCAGTAGCGAACGCTGGATTGAGCGCTTACAACGCGAGCTGCTAGAGACCACGGCTAGCTGATCTTTACTTTATATCTCGTAAATTGTACGACATACTAATCCTAGCGGTATGAAGCAATAATATACTTCTACTTAACTAAATAAACACTTTTCTTGAAAGCCTGCCACACCAGCAATGAATATAAAAGCAATTAATTAAAAAATACACTCCTCGCTCATGTTCCCAGTGTTCATTTCGCATAGTTCAGCTCAAAAAAGAGAGTTCATCCATTGTCACTGCAGATTCCGACTCGCACGTTGTTATTTTGAAACCTATGTAATCCAACTCTATGTAATCTACTTCATAACGTGTGTAATATTAACAATATCCTGAACTGTGTATTACTTCCCTATGTGTCTAGGGTTGATGTAAAAATACGTGAAAGTAGGAGCTAAGCTGAATATAAATTTAGTTTTACAGCACATGATAATAAAATGATGTAATGTTAGTAATGCCAAGCTGCTTTATTTTGTTGTGTTTATACCGCTACTATTTGAGCTAAAACAGAATTGTGGATATTTGTTTGTTTTAGATGACCTTGCTTTCATATAGGTAGGTTAGCGTTGTCGGCTTCTTGATCAATATATAAGCGTGTGAATGTATTAGGTTGTCAACTAATTAGTGTCGCTATTTTTAGATGGAAAACTCGAACAACTTATACAAAACATTTAGTAATGAAAAAAATCTCCATTCTTATCGATGATACTTTTCTATCTTACAAACAGGTTGTTAATGCCCCGATTAGAGAAATCAATTGGCTTTGAAGCAAAAAAAAAAAAAAAACATGTCGATATCATCTTTAACACCTTCCACATCTGCACAGGTTTTCCCATTAAGATGGTGTTGCAGCGAACGAAAAAGATGGTAATCTGATGGTGCCATATCTGGAGAATATGGTGGGTGGGGGAGAACTTCCCAACCCAACTCCATAATCTTGTGTTGCGTCAAACGTGCCACTTGTGGACGTGCATTGACGTGGAGAAGAACACCTTTCCGCTTGACTAGTGAAGGTCTTTTCTGATGAAGGGCTTGGTTTAAACGTTCCAATTGCTGACTATAGATCTCTTCATTGACAGTTCGCCGTGGATTGAGAAGTTCGAAAGTAATTACTCCTTTGATGTCCCACAAAATGCAAAACATCATTTTCTGCGGATGGAGTCCAGGTTTTGGGGTCGGAAGTGATTTTTGTCTAAGACTGAGCCATTGTTTTTGGCGTTTTATATTCGCATAGAGAATCCATTTTTTATCACCGGTGACAATTCAGTCCAAAAAATGGTTCACGTGCCAGAAGACGAAGCAACGTTCACACGTTGGAAACGATGACCATCGGAGAGTTTGTGAGGCACCCAAACAAATTCTTTATGGAGTTTTCCCATATTCCTTAGATGTTTACGTATTGTTTCATGAGAGATATGCAATTTCAGGGCCATTTCACGAGGGTGTTGCCATCAATATCAATTCCAACACGTCGGCCCCTGCTATCACAGTTTTTAAGGCTAAAGTTACCTGAACGAAATTCTGAACCATCGTTGAGACTTCTTGTTTGTTTGTTTGAAGTTAAGCTA